TGCCTTCCCTCTCCCTGTGCCAAAAGGCTCGTAATTAGGAAACATTAGCAGGCTCAAAACAGCTTTCATACCTGGAACATCATCCGTAATTGCACTCGGCAGTGCTCTTCCCTGGCTATTAATGTCACTTTTATGAAGTAATGAGGAACAAAACACCCTGAGGCACTTAAAACATCTTTTTTATATAATACGAGCCTTTGAGGAATGAACCTGACTCACGTTCCCCTGGCAGAGACGGGGAGAGGAGCGGTGGCGGGAGGGGATGGGAGGTGATGGATGGGCGTCGGGGGGGGGGGTTTGAGCAGCAGGGGACAGCAGTGGGGTTTGTTCCAGGATGCGGCACCGCAGGGGGAACGATGGCAGCCCATGTCTTTGTTAGGGTGCAACTGCCTCGGCCAGGGCTTCAAAAGAAATGAGGTTGCACACTGGCACCGAAGCCGAAGTGGGCACAAAATCCTTTCCAGGCACATCAGAGGCCCTTGAATTGCTTCGGAAAAAAAATCCGAACCCAAACGAGGCGCTCGCAGAATGCAGTGGGGCCACGTGCAGATGGTGGAGACAGGATAGGAATAGCTGCCCACAGCTGCTGTCGCTGAAAGCCCCTGCATCCCTCCCCGTGCGTCCCCCCGTGCATGTCCCCACATCCCTCCGTTCATCCTGGCCCCCGGTCTCTGGCCCTGCCTGGCATCACCTCCGGGTGCCCCGAGCGTGTCTGCGTGGTGATCCGGCATTAATGCTCTGTCTCTTGCTCTTCTGAGAGTTACTGGGGAGTCTTCTCCTTTGCAGGAGTGTATGTTAGATCTTCCACAAAGTATTTTAAGATACCAAATCCTTTATTTAATAGGCACAGGATCGGTCCGTAGCGTGTGTTGGAGAACGTCACTTCCCTTGTCAAGTCCCCTTGCTTGTGGATTGGGCTTTTTTCAGTAGCACCAGGTGCTTTGCTGGGTGGAAATGAAGCACCTTAAGGTGTGTTTTGGACTCCTGGAGCGAACCCCCCTGTAGATACCTTGTCCCAGCCAAGGCACGTTTTGCAGTAGGTTGGACGCCAGTTGAAAACAAGCCACGTCTCCCTCTCGCTCCAGGCGTGCAGGAGTCTTTATGAGCTTCCCGGTTACAGCACTGGTTTTTAGGATTTGTCCCACTTAATAGTTCACAACAAATGTTTGAGAGCAGGTTCGCGCTGCTGCTCGGCTTCTCTGCTGCTAATGGCCAATTTTTGGGTGAGGCTTGCCCAGAGTGCGGGTGCCAGAGAGGGCTTGCAGACCGTGACCCATCCAAGCGTCCTGATGTAGAGATGCAGAGATACACGTGGGGATTTCTGCTTGGGTGGGAGTCAACAAAGACCCCAAATTTAGTTGGTCCTTTCTTGTTTTCAGTCTTTGGTTCCCCAAAGCAGCCACCCTCGGGTTGTGCTGTTTCTTTTTCAGCCCAAACTGCTGAAAGCTGGGGTAAGAATCTAAAAGCTCCGCCTTTGCCTTGCCTTCCTCCATCCAAAAACTGAGTGTGCACCAGCAGCCTTGCTCTGGGGCTTAGCAACAAGCCAGAGCATCGCAGGAATGAGCGGAGATGAGAAGTACCGGAGAGGGAAGCAAAGAAATAAGAGGGAGAAGAGCAGCAGCCATCTGTAAATGGGACTTTCTTGCTCCTTGGGGCAGGAAGGAGTAGATGGGAGGATGGGAAAGGGGCTCCTGGCTGCTGCTGGGGTGTCAGCTCCTCCTCCCGGGCTCCTCTCACCTCTCTTGGGGCTGGAGGTACAGGGATTTGATGAGCCACCTCTCCTGACCCCAAGGTTGCTATTGGCATAGGGTCCATGCAGGCTTTGGGTTGCTTTGGGTGATGACATCCCTCTGAGAGTGACTCTTTGCCCCAGCTCACAGATGTGCCCCGGGGCTTGGGGGGCTGTTGACGTTAATGCCAGGGCACAGATGCTGGCTGGGCAGTGGGGGCTGTGGTCCCCAGGGTCCGGCTGCGGTGGGACGTAGGTTCTTGTTCTGCCCTCCTTGATGGACGTGGTTTAAATCTTAGCAGAAACGGAGAACATGGTCTCAGTCCTCAGCTTCGTGTGAATTATTTAGTGGGATCTCATCAAAACGATGCATTTGGTGCTGTTAGACCATCGATGGCAGCAGCCGCTGCCCGTGGGTCTTCCCAGCCATGGGGACCTGCTGCTCTTCAGCGCGCGGTTGCAGGAGCGCGCTGGATAGTGGCTCAGGTCCCCTCCCGTGCACCTGGCTGGGGTGCAGGAGCCAGCGAGTGGGATGAAGAGGAAGATTCCGGCAGCAAAGCTGGTGGAGAAGCTGATGGGCAAGTGCTGGAAGTGAACTTGTTGTCTGATGTTAATGGGATGACAGGGCTGTCATGCAAAGCCCAGGTGGGAATGGCAAACAATGCCAACCCCCTCGGTCATGGAGGAACTCGCAGCTTTCTCGTGTGAAAAGGTGCCCAGTAATGAAAGGGTGTTGAATTCACAGGTCTTGTCCAGGGTTTTTGGGATGCTTTTGCGGCGCGGGATGAGAAGGGAGAGCGCTTGGCTGGATGCGTGAGGTTTTATTGCTGGGTTGGTAAATGTAGCTTCACATCAAGGTGCAACCTTGAGCTGTGGTCTTTGCTTAAACTTCATGGAGCTGAGTAGGTGGACCCGGAGCAGACTTTCCACAGCGCTTCTTGGCAGCGTGTAGAGGACCCTGCTTTGAAAACAAACCGAAAACCTGCGTTTTTTTTAACTTCAGGGCTGTGATTTACAAAGGGGAAGCTTGGGGAGCAGGTGAGGAACGTGGGTGCTTAATGGAAAAAACGGAAGAGGGCAAAACCTGTAAGGTCTCAGAGTTGGTTGTGGCGCATCAGCTCTTTGGCAGGACTCAACGTGCCGGGGCAGGTTGGCATCGCCCGTCTGCCGTCGTGCCCCCACGTAAGCGCAACGACGCGTGAGCGCTGCTATAGCGTCGCTCCTGGAAATTATGCATGATATTCCGAGTGCTGCTTAAAGATTGCCATATGAATAATGCTGTTACGAGGAGACTGTAAACATGGATTAGTTAAAATGAATGGATTATGAGGCTGTAAATCTGTCTGTAGGACTCTAATGCCATCATAGACTATTCACAGTTTGCCGCTGTCCCTTAATTGAAATTGTAGCCTGGATTATATTAATGCCCTCCTATAAATCGAATTGCAAATCTATATTCTCTCTCCACGCGGCAGTAATGTTTTATTTAGTTAGTTTGCCTTGCCGGGGAAATGGTCCCGTCGTGCCGAGAGCCTGGGGTCAGCCTCGCCCTCCAGCCCACGTGCTGGCTCGGGCTTTCATGAAGCCGTAGCCTCCTGTGCTGCTTTCCCTCCCGCCTCCGGGTGCCTGGGTGACCATCGTTCTTCCCGTTTTTACGTCTTCTGAGGGCAGCCGAATAGTTGCCCACGTGGAGAAGATGTTTTAGCATCAGCCGGGAGCGATGGGCAGAGGCATGCAGGGGCAAGAGGGTGAGGATTTCTTCTGGTGCTTCTGCCACGTGCCTCACATTGTGTGTCCTCGACCGCGTTCCTGGTCCCCTTTGGTTCTCCTTCCAGCCCTGCCCTGTGCAGAGTGAGCGGCACCTCTGTGGCTCACGGGCCACCGCTGGTCCCTCTGCCTCCCTCTCATCTCTTCTTCCTTCTCCTTTCTCTAGTGGGAAGAAGTCAGTGGCTACGACGAGAACCTCAACACCATCCGTACGTACCAGGTGTGCAACGTCTTCGAACCCAACCAGAACAACTGGCTCCTCACCACCTTCATCAACCGGCGTGGAGCTCACCGCATCTACACCGAGATGCGCTTCACTGTGCGGGACTGCAGCAGCCTCCCCAACGTCCCCGGCTCCTGCAAGGAGACCTTCAACCTCTACTACTACGAGACAGACTCTGTCATTGCCACCAAGAAGTCCGCCTTCTGGACAGAGGCACCCTACCTCAAAGTGGACACCATTGCTGCTGACGAGAGCTTCTCCCAGGTGGACTTTGGTGGCAGGTTGATGAAGGTGAACACAGAAGTGAGAAGTTTTGGGCCTCTGACCCGCAATGGCTTTTACCTGGCTTTCCAGGACTACGGGGCTTGTATGTCTCTGCTGTCCGTCAGGGTCTTCTTCAAGAAGTGCCCCAGCGTGGTGCAGAACTTCGCTATCTTCCCGGAGACGATGACGGGAGCGGAGAGCACCTCTCTAGTGACTGCCCGCGGCACCTGCATCCCCAACGCCGAGGAGGTGGACGTGCCCATCAAACTCTACTGCAACGGGGATGGGGAGTGGATGGTCCCCATCGGCCGCTGTACGTGTAAGGCTGGTTACGAGCCGGAGAACAACGTGGCTTGCAAAGGTAAGGTTGGCCGATGTCTGTCGTGAAATTGGCTCTGCACCGTTTCCCTGAAGCGGTTTTGCTCCGGGGACCAGGCAGGGATTTGGGAGCAGTGCTCAACCCGTGGCTTCTTGGCACGCTCCAGTCGGCGGCCGGACGCGGCGAGGATGCGGG